AAACAAATCACCTCTCTGTCACTTTCTTCATACCTTTATCCATTTATTGCAGCAATTCCACTTTTTGTTTGATGGACATCGAAACATACTTTCGTTTTGTAGATCCTTTGGGAGCTCCAGCATCGGAAATTCTATTTGACATAATTGAAAGTTTAAGCTTACTTTTATAAAATTGCTCTTACAGTCTGCAAAAAATAATAGGCCGGATCCAATTCGAAGATTAAGGAACAACGCAATCATCAACAGTAACTGAAATAGATAATTAGATTATTTTAGCTTATACCGTCTGTTATACATTACACGTGCATGCGAAAACGTATTCTGCACGTGCGCACACGCATATGCGCAGTTGTAAACGCCTATGCGCATGTGTCAGCGCGGCGCTTGCGCAGAAAGCTTTTAGCTTTCAGGTCCGAATTAACGACTTTTGACTGTACAATTTATATGTAGTAGCACAGTTATGATTTGTCACAAAATTCATGATCATACTCTAAAATTACATCAGGGATATAATTATTAATTCCTCTATTATATATAATACGTTCCTAGATTATCTGAGCTATTTCTCTTAAATCATTGGAAAAATCCTAGTATCCTGTACGGCTTTGGCACGATTATGAAAATTGTCACCAACACCAATGTGACTCGATTACTGCTCATCATACTGTTACCAAATCCCATGTGTATTATACTCTTGGTTTAAGCCAAATTCAATTTGCAGTTGTTATGGCCCTGCACATCCCAAGAAGCTTAAATCACTAATCATCGTTTTAAAATTAATAAATACATCGGCTAAAGTGCAGAATCGCAGACTTATTTGTTTGGCGCTTTTTACAAGCGTAAGAAGAATTGGATTTTTGTAAATTTTCTTTGAACTTTTTACGTAAAAATAGGTCGATGTGTACATGGATAAAGTCAAAGGTGTGCATAATGCCATTCTTGCACAATTCTGGGATGTTCTTTTAAGTGAAAATAGGTCGATGTGTACATGGATACTGTTGTGTAGCAAATTTAATATAATTAAATTAATCACAGAAATCAAAAGTTTAATGTGTCAATATTCAAAATTTTAGCTACACATCAGGTTTGGATTTATTAATTTATTTGGTTATTATTAGTTTATTGCAATCAATTTGTGATTATTTGGTTTTACGTGAAATGCTTAGCTAGCGCCATTTGGTGTCCACTTCGTTTTCAAACTTGTACACTCATACAATGGATATAATTGAATTTTCACGTAATAAACTCAGTTTTTCATGTCAAGAATTAAGTTAAACTCTTAGAATTTAATATCAATAGTTGCAGAAAAATTAGCTCTTTAATTTGAGATAACTTTTATTTTCCTAACTTCAATTACAATTTAGTTATGAGCTTTTAATTAATGGATTTTTGCAGTTGTCGTTGCGATTTCTATTCTTGGGGAGGAAATCTCCCTTTTCCGGTAAAATGCTGATTTTTAGAGTTTCAGTGCACTTTCACTGGAGCTTGGTCCAGGGTTGTTGAGATTCCCATGTTCTCCCCTCTTCTAGGTGTGGCTGGTTGGCGAGTTGGAAAATCCATTGTGGTTTCAAACCAGTTGGTTTTGGCGAGGGTGTTTGCATGACAGAAAGCTGGGTGTCGCAACTGGTTTTCCCCTTGGTGGAGCGTGAGTGATGCCAAGTTGGTGTTCCCTCGCGTAACTTTTTAACGGGTGGTTTCGAGGGGCAAGGTAACTTTTTGGCCGCAAGTTAAGCTTATCTGACTAGATTAGAGTCATGTGCTCTGCACGCCGACTGAGCAAAATAAATGGCGGAGTTTCTCCTGCCCGATCCCATAGCCTTCGTTGTTGAAAGAAAATGAAATGAGGCTTCAACTTTCCTTCTGAGGTGTCTGCAAAATCGAGAAAATTCCAGAAAATTTTCAAGCTGCTGTTTACAATTTTCAGCCTTATAATGATCAAAGGAGAATGTTATGTGCATTTTAAAGGGACACAGGAACACAAAGAATTTTCCTATCAGACTGACCTGAAACCTATTCCAAATAAAGTCATAGCGTTGTGTTAATTAGCCGGATAACCCTGAAATAAAAATCTGTAGTGGACTGGTGAAAGACATGAACAATTCATACCATTGATTGATCAAAAAAAAATATGATTATTTATTTAAATATTATGCAATTTACATTTTGCAAATTTTAACAAGTTAGGATGTAATAATAAAATAAAAAAAATACTTTAACAAAAAGACCTCATAATTTTCCCTCAAAAAGATTCTACAAAATCAAACATTATATTGACTAAAAACAGGCAAGTATAATCATTTAAATTGAATGATAGAGAAAGGTACCCTCCCTGGGGAGAAAGAAAAAAATATTTAACAATTAGTACTTTGTAAGAGAAACCGCACTGAATAAGCATTTATGAACTTGGTTACAGATTTGGGAAAAACACAACAAAATAATACTGATTTATTATTGCACATTTTAATTTATGAAATGAGAGAATAAACCGGGTAAAATTTTTAAGAATAAAATCAGGCTTTACATCTTAACAGACAACTTATTCCAACAGCGTAGTAAAGAACTCAATTAATTGCACCTGGTATTAAAACCTTAACGATAACAAAATTACTGCTTTAATTAAATTATTTAAAACTAATAATATATTTCCCTAAACCATTCTAAATAAGTTACTTTATCTCAGCAATCAGAATTTTAGGAACAGCATAACAAGAAAAATTTTCTTAAGTACAAAAAAGAAATTAGTTTATCATCAAAACCATCAGCTATTGGGGGAAAAAATAATAATAATTAAATAGACTTAGCTGCTAAAAATCCTGGAGCTCCGTCAGGATTATAAATACTCCCAAGCTCCCGATTAAACATGACGAAACTAGTTAAGGGTTCGGCGTAACACAATGATAAGTTATAATAAACAAGGAATAAGAAGATCACTTTCTGGAATTTCTCAATTTTGCAGACACCTCAGAAGGATGACGACCAACTTGCCGATTAACTTGATATAGGAGATTACAGTGAATAAGTTCCTTTGATTATTATAAAGCCGAAGAAAATTTTTAAACAGCAGCTTGAACATTTTCTGGAATTTTCTCGATTTTGCAGACACCTCAGAAGGAAAGTTGAAGCCTCATTTAATTTTCTTTCAATGAAGGCCATGGGATCGGGCGGGAGAAACTCCTCCATTTTTTTTGCTAAAAGTCAAAGGTGTGCATAATGCCATTCTTGCACAATTCTGGGATGTTCTTTTAAGTGAAAATAGGTCGATGTGTACATGGATACTGTTGTGTAGCAAATTTAATATAATTAAATTAATCACAGAAATCAAAAGTTAATGTGTCAATATTCAAAATTTTAGCTACACATCAGGTTTGGATTTATTAATTTATTTGGTTATTATTAGTTTATTGCAATCAATTTGTGATTATTTGGTTTTACGCGAAAATGCTTAGCTAGCGCCATTTGGTGTCCACTTCGTTTTCAAAATTAGAGTAGCGTGCAGAGCACGCTACTCTAATCTAGTCAGATAAGCTTAACTTGCGATCAAAAAGTGACCTTGTCCCTCGAAACCACCCGTTAAAAAGTTACGCGCGGGAACACCAACTTGGCATCACTCACACCCCGCCAAGGGAAAACCAGTTGCAACACCCAGCTTTCTGTCATGCAAACACCCTCGCCAAAACCAACCGGTTTCAAACCACAACGGATTTTCCAATTCACCAACCAGCCACACATAGAAGAGGGGAGAACATGGAATCTCTACAACCCTGGACCAAGCTCAAGTGAAAGTGCAATGAAGAACCCTAAAAATCAGCATTTTACCGGAAAAGGGAGATTTCCTTCCCCAGAATAGAAATTACAATGACAACTGCAAAAATCCATTAATTAAAAGCTCATAACTAAATTGTAATTGAAGTTAGGAAAATAAAAGTTATCTCAAATTAAAGAGCTAATTTTTCTGCAACTAATGATATTAAATTCTAAGAGTTTAACTTAATTCTTGACATGAAAAACTGAGTTTATTACGTGAAAATTCAATTATATCCATTGTCTGAATGTACAAGTTTGAAAACGAAGTGGACAGCAACCGACGCTAGCTAAGCATTTCACGTAAAACCAAATAATCACAAATTGATTGCAATAAACTAATAATTAACAAATAAATTAATAAATCCAAATCTGTTGTGTAGCTAAAATTTTGAATATTGACACATTAAAATTTTTATTTCTGTGATTAATTACATTAAATTTGCTACACAACAATACCGAGTATGTGCAATTCTTAGAAACGTGCCAAGCAGTGGGCGATTCTGCATTTTCCCCAATACATCTTGCACCTCAAAATGAGTAGCCTACAAAAATTCAGGAGCGGTAGGTTTCCTATTTCATAAATCTGCCACCACATTGATAAAAATTTATTCTTGAAGTCTATAAGCACTTTTTTAAATTCTCTCTATCATAAAAAATATACCTGAACGAACAACTGAGTTTTTTACAATAAAATATAATTATTTATAACATAAGCAATAATAATATAGAAGATGACTAACGGAAAAAAAAAAAGAATATCATTACATATTTTTCCGTTATAATTCTAATGAAACTACACATATATTATTCTTCAAAACATAAATATGAGTTATGTCCACACCCAAAACAGCCGCAAATCAGATCACGTGATCCAACACGTTTCGATTTTCACATGCTACGATTCATATTTTACATGTATTTCGCAAAACAGGTTACGCTATTCGCCAAATTTTCATGATCATCACTCAGACTGGGAGGCATAAAGTTGAAAATTACAACATTATCATATCCTGATTGGAACTACATAAACAGCTGATCTAATAATATTCAACCTACCACAGCTAAATTGCATTTCGAAACTACGCTATGGACAATTTACTTTTTTTAATATGTATGAATCTTACGGCACTAAAAAGCATCACCTACAATTTCTACTTTTCTTAAATGAAATTAAAGCGAAAACATTGTTGGCTTACATTAAATAAAACTCTTCAAGAGTTAAAACACACATTGACAGCACTCATACCACTGCTTACAGACGATAAATTACGAAAGCATACAGACCGACAGACAAAGAAGAAAATAAAAAGGCGTATTTTGCACGTGCTTAGTCTTTCTGCAGATAGGATGAAAATTTAAGCAATAACCTTTCTGTTGAATGAATTCTACGTACGCGAACTGCCTAAGTTGAAGTGAATCTTTTTTTTTTTAAAGGCGGGTTACTACCTTGGCGTAGATTATCTTTTTTAAGCGTTGGCGACTTTCAAAAGTTTAGATCACTTGGAACCTTTGAGCTCCAAGAGACGGCTCTGTTTTTTGCTCTCTTGATTTGTCTATTTTGTAAGTATGATTTTCACTATACGAAAGGTCGGATAGCTAGCTGAAATGTCAGTTGACAATAAAGGTAACTGCCTCAATAAGCCGACGGCTTCTGTCAAAGATATTGACGACGATGTCTAAAGTATTATTCAAAGTATTACTGAACTAAAAGATGCCATCACTCACGTGCAGCAACTGCCAATTACACGCGAAAGCATAGAATTAAGACGCTCCATGCAAGCTGAACTTAAGGCACAAGAAGCGCAATTATTTTCTATCATCTCTAAGTGTTGGTTTTAAGATTGGCATATATATAACATTTTCAAAAGAATCATCCACTTCTAACAAAAAATACATTATGGCAATATACAAAAAGAAAACTTTATTAAAGAAAATCAGACATAAGAAATCTTACCACATTCTACCAAATCATAATAATTCATACATTGAACTGCGGTGCTTAACCACCAGGGTGCCTGGGCGCCTGCCCTACCCCTCATCGAATAACATGATAAAAGTTTCGAATTATGAGAAATATAACTGAATGTGCTAAATAATTAAATAAATACATATTTTTTCCCTTAAGTACCTAATTACTAATCCATGCATAATTAACTATTTTTTAACAACTATTTCACAGAAGAAATCATGTACACACAAGAGAAACAAAATACGAAGTGCGACGCCTTAGTGCCACTGGTAAAAACAAAATGCAATCAGGAGGAAAAAAGAACAATATACAATAAAGAATCTGAGCAACAATTTGCATAATACATATACAAAATTACATATTACTAACATTTAGGATCGCCCTTGAGCGTTTACTGAAATTGGGGTCCCTAGTATCATAACAATAGTTAACAACCACAGGATTGTCCAGTTCCTGTTTATCATAAAATGCCCTAGATAGGCGGCAATAAAAATCACAAAGATCCTCTATTCTTAACTCTTTACGAATTTGGCTATTCCGAATGTACCAGGGGCATAACATATCATACGCAATACCCCGTTTTGGGCAGCTTGTAACTGCCTTCTCTAACTTTTGCACAAGTATGCCCAGACGGGGCATGCATAACTAAGAATTGGACGCAACATGGTTTTGTAAATAAGCAACTTATTATCAATAGATAGAACACTGTTTTGAGCAATTAAGGGGAAGAGTGAAGCTTTACTAGCTCGAAACTTCCTGAGAATATGTGTAACGTGTGGGTTCCATGTAAGAGATTTACTGAGGATCACCCCAAGATAAGGGACCTGCTTGACCCAGGGAATGTCCACACCATACATTTGCAGGTGAGTCGGGAAATTCTTCTTAGTACTGAACAGTACGGCATGTGTCTTGTCGACATTCACTTTGACTTTCCATTTGGTCAGCCAAGTCTCTAGTAAATATTAATTAAAAGCTCATAACTAAATTGTAATTGAAGTTAGGAAAGTAAAAGTTATCTCAAATTAAAGAGCTAATTTTTCTGTACATTCACTTTGACTTTCCATTTGGTCAGCCAAGTCTCTAGCGAGTGGGCTGTGGTGTTGTAGCTGTTGTAGCTGAACTAACAAATGCACTTTGTTTAAGGATCTCTGTGTCGTCTGCATACATGGCTAGTGTTGTGTTGTGTGTAGTGGGGATGTCGTTCACGTAAATATTGAATAGGGTAGGGACCAGAAGGGATCCCTGTGGAACACCAGCCCGTATAGGCCGGTTTCTGGATAATGAACCAGAAACATGAACGACAAAGTGTCTACCGGTTAGGTAGGATTTAATTATGTTTGTGATGTATAGCCTGGGAGTCCCAGGTTGTATAATTTGTATATGAGGGCATCCAGCCATACTCTATCCAACGCCTTGGCGACATCTAAGAAAAGTCCACCAGTGACACGATGTTGTTGCATCCCACTGCTTATTAACTCAACAACTCTGTAGAGTTGATGCGTTGTCGAGTGCTTACGCCGCCTGAACCCAAACTGATAGGGTATGAGGACCTTCTGCTCATCCAGGAAGATGTTTAGTCTATGGTGAATAACAGCTTCCACGATTTTGCTAATTGAGCTTGGCAAACTGATTGGTCGGTAACTCTCAGGAGCAGTCGCAGGCTTGTTGGGCTTTAGCAGAGGGACAATCTTGGCAGTTTTCCAACAGGTTGGGAAGTATTGCCATCGTAGTATGATATTCACTAACTTAGTGAAGTAGAGTATTAGTAGAGGAAAATGCTTGATCATCTCATTTGTGACCCCGTCTACTCCAGGGCTCTTCCTTTTTGCAGTTCGCATGATATAGAGACAGACCTCCGATGGCATGGCTGAGATAATGTTGTCTATGCATGGCTGTGTTGAAAAATTGGAGTGGAAGTCAGCAATAAGCTGTTCAGTGTCTGAGTCTGAAATGTTGTTAATAATGCAGAACTGAGATTCCAGATGCTGAGCTAAAAGTTCTGCTTTCTCAGTTCCGGTGTAATGGGATCCGTTGAGGGCCGTGAAGGGCGGAAATGGCGTTATAGCATTTTTTGTACCTCTTCACTGCTTTCCATAAGGAGTTATCCTCTCTGCAGAAAGAGATCTGAGGTAGTTAGTCCAGTCCAGATCTTGTGAGAGTTTATTTGTAAGAAACTTGACCGCTTCGCACAGGCGATTGAAGTTCCTTTTATCATCACGGTGTCTTCTGGTACGTTGATACGCTCGTCTCTTGCAGCATTTCTCTCTTTTAATAATAATCAATAATCTGAGCTCTTGAGGCTTGTGTTTCATACCAGGTTTAACTTCAACTTGTGCTTGCTTTCGCATAAGCATTTTGTATATTTTCAGTGAGGTCCTTGACCAAACTATCAATGTCACTCCCCTTGTGTATCGTGGGGTAAAGTGTACTGGGTGTTGGAGAGGGCTTTGGGCTTTGGCAAAGACCTGCCAGTCTGTACGAAAGGCCCTGGTGTCTGATGTAGTATATATCTGCTGAGGTCCAGAATAATCCTAACAGGATTGTGATCACTTGAAAGTTCGTCCAGTACGGAAATATCCAGTGGAGAACTGGTGTTCCGCAACAGGAAAAAATCAATAATTGCGGTGGACCCAGCAGCATACCGTGTTGGGGTACTTGGAACTGCCAATTTAAAATCCGTGCCGACGCGGCCAAGGAATAAATCAGTCTGCCTGTTGCATTAGAAGTGTAGCAGTTCCATGCGCGGTGTCTTGCGTTCAAGTCTCCACCAATAATAACATGTGTACCAGTGTGAGTAGAAGAATTTCAAGGTCTGCCTGAACGACAGCCCACAGGTCTCATGGGAGGAATGTAGGTGGAGACAAAAGTGTATGAGTGTTAGTGTCTGTTGTGTGATGCAGATAGCTGTGGCCTCTACGGCTGAGAGCTGTGGAATGTTCACGTGATAATGGGGAATGCAGCGTTTG